GGGTTTAGGGTTTAGGGTTTAGGGTTTAGGGGCTAGGGTTTAGGGTTGAGGGTTGAGGGTTTAGGTTTAGGGTTTGGGTATAGGGGCTCATGTTTCAGGGTTTAAAGTCCCTCAAATCACGAAACCCTAAACCCTGAACCCTAAACCTTAAATCCTAACCCTAAACCCTGAACCCTAAACCCTGCACCCTGGCCTTGGCACTTCAGGCCGCAGCTGCCCGTGTCCTCCACGACATGCAAAAGGGGGGGGGGGGGGGGTTGAGGGCGGTTTAGGGTTTAGGGCTTAGGGTTTTGAGGGGTTGAGATGGTTCCAAGCACCGTTGCCAGAGCTGCCTCTTTTGTTGGAAGACTTCTCTTGGACGCTTGAAAAGCGATTGAAGATGTCCACTGCCAGGCCTGGTATTCACCCTGGCAACGGTATGCGCCTTGGCTGCGTCAGACGGAAAGGAGGGCGTGGCCAACACTTCAAACTTTGATGAGCATGACGATTCACTGGTGCGGAAGAGGCGCATCGACTGCCCTGGCATTCGGTTGCGCACTGGTGGCCAATGCACTCGAAACCACACTGCCTGGAGGGTAGATGGGTGAAGGCAAAGCATCTCTTCCCATGGCATCTCGGTGTGCTATGGCCCATGCAGGCATGACATTCACCATGGAGTTTAGGCTTCAGATCCGGGTTCGGGTGCATCTTCCGACCTCCCCACGCACTTGGCTGCACAATGCCCGTTGTCACCTGGGGCACAGATATGGGGGCTTTGTTCTAAAGGTTCTTTATGGGATGGGATGGACCATGGGAAAACCTACCACCTTATTGTTAATTCTGGGTACAGGTTTTTGAATGATATGAAATTTCCCAACAAAAGAGGAACCATGAGGGGCCCTTCTGGGGGGGTTTGATTTGGGTACCCCCATGTCGGGAAATGCCGGACACCTTTTCGCAGATATGGCAGTGCGAACGCAAACTTATCCTGACCAGACTGACACCAAAGCCCCACAGTGCTCAAGTGCTGGGACATTGGGGCTTAGGACGCGCGATCGTCAACCCTGAACAGAATCCGACTTCTCAGCCAGCATGCCATACTCGCCGCTGCAGTACGCGCCGCAACGATCACCTCGCGACTCCAGTTGCTGCATAGAGCCGGGTGCACAACGCCACAGTGACCTACAGAGATTCTAGGCACTGTAGGCCTGTGAATGCGTGCGAACCGAATCTCTGCCTATACCTCCAAGCGGGATGCATTCCTGAGATCGTCCTTCCAGTCCCACAAAACGGGGAGAGAAAAGACAGAAACACTCACTCCAGGCCCTTTGCATCTTTTCAGACCCTCTGTTCACCTCGGGAATGTATACATACATATCTGAATATTCATACAGTTTCGAATTCTAGGGTTCCTCCTGGCCAACCTTGGAAAAACTCTGCAGGGGCACATTGCAATGATTAATGCCCTCGGCACTTCCCTTTTGCCATGTGCTTGAGAACCACAAGCCGGTGCGCATGCGTCTATCGCAGTCTCCGCGTGTAGGCAGCTCTACGGTGGGGAAATCATGGGCTTCAATTGAAGCATTGTCCTTCACAACTCATCCCACCAAGTAAGAAAACCTTTAAGACTTGCGAGGTGCCGTTGCAGCTGCGCGCGCACTCTGCGCCCTGGCAATAGTAGCCGCACTCGAAGCCTTCAATTGGGGGAGAGCAAAAATGAAGGCGAGAGATGACTCTACCGAGCCGAGCAAAGCCTAGAGGCCTAGAGGCATGTGTCGAAGGTCTTCTCTTCGTGTCGCAAGCGCTGGCACACTTGAAGTACGGATCATGAACCCCAACCCGTTCCAAAACGACATCTATAGACTGAGAGAACAAGGCCTTTGCAGTCTTTGCCGCATTGCTGAACAGCGGACTTGGTGCTTTGGCATTCGTAGGCGCACTGCTTGCCTGCGGGAGCAGGCATCGCGGGTACGGGCCAAGGACATCTTCGCGATGTCAGTCCGAAATGGTACAGCTTGACTCTGATCCAGGAAGCATGCGAGATTAAGCTCAGCACAGGCCCTGCATGGAGCATGTCTTGACAAGTCATGGTATACCCCTGCCTTGACAAGTGGAGGCGCAGTTTCCACCTGTCGAGATGTTCTGAAGGCTTTTTATGCGTTTCTGTTGTTGCGAGGTATATGCAAGCTAGGCACAAGAGGGACGGATAACAAAGTACGATGCGCTTGCTTGTGTATGGAGGTTGTTACACAGTGTTGTGTGGGGGCGCGCCGCTGCACTGGAAGCCGCACTGCTCGCCCTGGCACTGCGCAGCACACTCCTCCTGGACACCCAGAGGAGATTCAAAGGACTGTGGGTCGCAATTGCCCTGGATCGTGCGGCTTGTGGTAATCGTGAAACGTTCACTCCGCGCAGCCCATCACAAACCCAACCAGCTCTCCTTGCCGAAAAGGAGTCCAGCACCTTGGAGAATCGGGTTGAGGCCAATGGCCCACTGACGACTGAGAGGGGCTGCAACGGGTTGCATTCTGGCAAGGCCGGCGCATTTGAAGCCGCACTTGTCGCCCTTGCAGGCCTTCGCGCAGTCTGGTCCTGCAACAAAGTCTTGCAGAGCTTCCCCAAACCCTAAACTCTAAACACCTAAAACCCTGAATTTTAAGAGGCTTTGAGCTGGTGGCTCAGAGGTTTGTGCGACATGGCTCCTCCACACTTCTGATCGCTGGCCATAACCTCCACAAAGGACATCCATAGGGAGTACTTCTAATTCTCAGCACTGTCATTGTTCTCGATCATGTAATTCTGAATTTTAATTCTGGTAATAAGTACCGCGAACTTGAGCATGATTCTGGTTCTGATTCGCCTGGCTACGATTCAAAAGGGGGGGGCGGCTGCATGGCTGAGGATCTGCCTTGCACTGAGGCTCGAGGATGGTGTAGCCATCCTGGGCTCAAGTCTCTGCGGCTGCTTTGAGGAGGTGCAGGGTTAAGAAAGGCTGAGGAACATGTGGGAAAGTTGGGGGGAGCAGGGCTGCATGGTGCGGGGCTCTCTGGGAGGATCTCAGCCTGCTTGGACTGCCGTGCTCTTATCGACAACACAGAAGACACACCTCTTGCAGCCAAAAGGGCGTTGCAGCTGGAGCAATGGTTATCCTGCAGCATTCAAATATCGACGGCTAAGCAAAGGCCCAACTTGGGAGATGCGTCTACGGATTCTACAAGTAAGTAGCCTTTCTGGCATCCCCAGCCCTCCCCGTCACTTCCTGCGTGCGCTTGGGCTGGTCCACACAGGTCTTGCACGAGGAGCCGGCGCCCGTGCTGCAGCCAAAAGCCTCGCCGAGCCAGGGCGCAAGGACTCCGTGGTCCCCTTTGGTCACTGCTGGGGTCCCTTTTTGACTACGTTTGGGGTCGAGGGGCCCGAGCTTTTCGAAAACAAGAGCCTATCATCAACCAGAATTTTGATTCTGCATGATTCTGCTAACCGCCATTACCGGTCAATACGAATTACTACGATGATCTAATGTATTGTTACTTTACATTGCTAGTACGTTTACCATAATTTTCACCCTAACTTAAAACACCAACGCGACCCGAGTGGAGACGAGGTGCCGTGCAGCTCCCCGAGAAGAAGGGCGTGCCGACCTCCACAGCTTCCAAGTCTTGTCGTAGAGCTTGCAGTTTCGGGCTTAGGGTCCAGGATTAGTGTTTAGGGTTTAGGGTTTATAGGGTTTAGGGTTTAGAGTTTAGGGTTTAGGGTGTAGAGTTTAGGGTTCAGGGTACCCTAGACCCTACGGTAAACCCTAAACCCTAAACCCGAAACCCATTGCTTCTAGCGTGGTACCCGCAAAGTCTTTCCTCTGCCCAGGCCTGCGCAAGACTGTGCTATCCCGAAGATGGATCCCTCTCAAGTGTGGTTATAGTCTAAGGCCTGACTGAGTTGCTAGAAGGGTAGGGTTTAGGGTTTAGGGTTTATAGGCTTTAGGGTTCGTAGTTTTCTCTGGAGTTCCCATGGTGAAGGGTTCAATGATGGAATTGTGTACCAACGGTGGGGTTCCTTACAGGGAACCCCAAAAGTGGCCCACAAGGGACACTTAATTTCGAGAAGTACCCGGACACAATCTGCAAGGACATTCTCTTCACAAGCTCAAGGTCCTGGGACCCCAAGTTTAGGGTTTAGGGCTTAGGGTTTAGGGATGGGAGTGTATGTCCCGAGCCTTTGCCGCGATGTTGCCCCAATAGCCTCAGACTTCGGCTAGGAGTGGAGGGGCCACGTCGACCCTGCATCGTGGAACCCCCGCCCTTACGCCCCCTCCCCCCCCACCCCCCCCCTGAAAGCCGGAAGGGAACCGAGCTTTCGAGCACTTCATTGGGTGTATGGGGGACCTTCGAATCAAGCGAAAAACAAACACGACGCAAAGCAAGAAGCATGGTAGAACCACGTCTTCTCAAACTCTTTTTGGTTGAAACCCGGGGAGAAGCGGACTGCTGCAAATCCACTCTTGGCTAAGCGGCCATCATTGCAGGTGCAGCCCTTGACAATGTTGTCGCCCGACGAGTGGGCCCTGGGCGGCAAAGGGGTGGCAGGGGACCGGAAAGCCGGAAACTTACAGCCGTGGTGTGCAGAGTGCGTCCGACGCGTCCTGCATCTTCTAGCATCTTCCGGCGCTGTGCAATACACGTAAGCCGACAGCAGAGCCTGTCTCCTCTTGCCACTCTTGCCAAAACTGTCACAGTCGAAACCCACAGCCCATCGTAAGGAAACCACGGGCAGGCAGCAGCTGCGCAGCTGCCCTTGAAGAAAGGCGTGAGCCTAGGTGCAGCATGGTGTAGCTGCGCAAGCTTGATCAGGGCCTGGGCTGGTTTGTGGTTCGGGACTCACTGTGCTGGAGTTGAGCCTTTTTGCCGAACGCGTGCGACTGTTCTCGGGGCCACGTCTTTGGTAGCCGCTGCGCTGTGCCCAAACATGGTCCGACTGTGCGCCAGCAGGCACAAAGCCACAAAGGCCTTACGCATACTGCAAAGCACTCAGAAGACCTCCACTGCCATCTGCTGTGGACTACCGAAGCGGTAGCCCAGGCAGGTAATCCACACGGAAAGGCCTCATGATCGAAGTTGCAGAGGCTTCCAGAGGCTTGGGGGGGCTTCAGTGGCATGTGGGTGAGGCTCGGATGACCAGCCCAGGAGCCGAAACCCAAGACAAACAGCAGCCCGGCTTTGTCTCCAGCACCTTACGGACCAGGAGAGTGGTTTTGGGTTTGCTTTTGGGAAGAGGCCGTTGCGACCGAACTTGAGCATGTTAAGCCGAGACTTGCGGGAGTTCACGCCAGGTTGCCTTTGAATGCTTCCGGAAGCATTGCTGTGGAAACCATCGCCAGCATGGCCCCGCCTGGTTGGGCCGGGAGTTCAAGGTTGAGATGGGTTGAGGGTTCAGGGCTGATGAGTTTCGGCTTCATCGCGCTGATGCTTCAAGGTTGAGGGCTCAAGGCTCATAAGTTTCGGCTTCAATGTGCCGAAGGCTTCATCGGGAATCTTCGTGCCTAGTCGCGATGGCACTGTGCTGGCCCCTTCTCACTTCCCGAGCCTGTCAAGCCCTCCATGAAGGCGGTGATCTGCAGAAATCGCGGGATCCCACATCGGATATAGGGCTTTAGGGTTATGGGGTTTAGGGTTTTGGGGCATTCTAAGGTTTGGGGCGAAACCCCCCCCCCCCCCCCCCCCCCCC